TTTTCAACAGTAAGCTTTACCGTGTGAAAATATATAAACACTTGATTATAAGGCATACTTGTTTCTACTTGATTATACTTTAATGATTTAACTAAAATAAAAATTCTCTTAACAGTTTTTAAAAGCAACATGTAAATTCTCAACAACAACCAAAACACTGATCAAATCTTTGAAAGATGTATTGTTGTTGTGAGATGTGTAAAATTAGTGCATGCTAGGGTTTGTTATTGAAAATAGTTCAGTTGTTTTTTCTATTTTAATGACCACCTACACCCCACAATACTCTTTTAAAACGTTTTGTTTTCAGATTCTTTCTTTTAAAATCTATCAAGTGCCTGTTAATTAGTCTTATATGAAAAAATTTGAAATCAACTTTTATAGGATTTTATTACAGCAAAGGCTATTGATTTCTGATCAGACCCAGAAGCAGGTTTTGTAATTTTAGTTGAACACCAAAAAAATTCAAGTTATATTTGTTTTTTGTACACAGAGACATGAAGTGAGACTCTCAGCTTTTGAAACTGGTCAAACTGGATCTGCTGTGCAACAGCACAGTCTGAGTAACAAGATTCTCCACTGTCACATCATGACATCCTTGGAGGAGAGCCAACAGTTTGTGACAAAGTATAATCTACAAAAATGAATATAAAGACCCGGAGCTCTGAGTCTCTCCTCTCTGCCTCCTCCACAGACTGATGGAGGCAGGAAAAGCTGCCTTCAGTCATCAATAAGTGGATCCACAGTAACAACGACTCTGAGTTCAGCTGCTGACCATCAACTTACTCTACTTCTGCATCACAGGTGAAGAACTAATGCTGAACTAAGCTGCACAAAGCTGATGTTAGCCAGGAAAACATTACAGAATGACTTTAATGGAGAGACCAGAAATAATAACACACAGTTTGTTATGTGAAGAAATCAAACATGAGCTGAACAAACAGTAAAGTTCCTAAAGAGAAACTGTTAAAGGATGAAACAAAACAAACTTACATTTTCTTCAACCACAGACACGAACAACAAGCTCCACTCTACATCTGGATACTAAACATAGATGCACAGGTGAGCTGCTTCCTGGAACGAGGCGGGACAGGTGGGAGGGGCTTGACATGAACAATCGAGTTCATTTAACTCAGGGGTGTCAAACTAGAGGCTCGAGGCCCGGTGTCCTGCAGGTTTTAAATATCACCCTGGGTCAACACACCTGAATCAAATGATTAGTTCATTACCAGGCTTCTGGAGAACTTAAAGACACGTCAAGGAGGTAATTTAGCCATTTAAATGAGCTGTGTTCGATTAAGGACACCTGCAGGACACCGGGCCTCAAGGCCTGGAGTTCGGCACCTGTGATTTGAATGAACACTAGAACATTTGTCTCCTTTCTTCGTGGTTCATTGCTTTAAATTTGCATTTAATGTCTCCATGTGTGCCTCTGTTTTCAGAAAAACTGTTTTCATTCTGCCTCATGACTACAGACTTGACACTTCCATGTTCACTACAGACCACAGTTTGTCATGCACACATAATGAATGGACAAACAGCTGTCATTTTAACTTATTTACAACCTGCTGCTTAAAAATATCATCTAATTAATATATTTATTACTTCATAATCAGACTATGCAATGACAGCAATTTTATCAAAGATAAAAAAGAAAAATTATTCATGAAGCAAAATCACATCAGTATGACATTTTTAATGGATCCTGATCCTTGTCACTTTACTGACTGTATTTGTTTATTGTTATTGTTATTATTATTATTATTATTATTAATAATAATAATAAAAGTCAAGTTTTGTCTCCTGCGCAAATCCTTACCATATCATGGTGGAAGGGTTTGTGTGTCGCAGCGATCCCAGAGGCTATGTGCTAGTTGCTAAACATTTTTAATTTATTTATTAAACCTTTAACTTTTATTTCAGCCACATGTCAAATGCAATCAAAGTGTCTGACCTCTAAAGAGCTCCAACTTTTAAGTTCATCAGTTTAAAAAAAACTTGAAGCAATAGGTAGCATTAATTCTTTTTATGGTTTGCCAACATATTCTGGTTTACTGTGTGAGAATCAGAGCTGTTTTTAATTATGTTGGGTGTTTTCAGCCAGTTAAACAGCTTCCATGGACGTTTCAATCACCAAACTCGAACAACTAGTAACTGCATGCAGCACAGTTTCAGTTTGCAGCATTCCTTCTTTGTGAAGCATCAACAGTAACGACATGTTATTTAACAGAGCTGCATAAAGACTACCAATTCAAATCAATTCACTTCAATTTTATTGAAGAGATCATGGCACTGTAAAAACATGAAAACATATTACTGTAATACTCAACTGCAAAATGTTAAAAAAAATCCAATAAATGAGGAATAGTGATGCTACTGTATTATGGGGTGTCTTGTGAGTCCTACCTCTAAAAATGAATAGTCTAGACTTTAATGACAGAGCATAATTCAGACATCACAAAGTTTCTCACACTACAGAATAAAATGAATCCCACAGACATGAAGGAATATTTGTGCTTTTATGCAGAGAGTCAGCATCAGCTCTCTGCTCTGTTTCACATAATGTTCATGCAAATCAGAGGTGGTTTTAATGATCATCCATAGAACCACCAAACTAGAAAAACCAGTTACTGCATGCAGCAGAGTTCCTATTCTTTGTGAATCATCAACACTAATAACACATTATTAAACAGGACAGTATAAGTACAAAGAGTCTGACTCACACCTGAACAATAATGCTGTGTGACACCTGCTCTGCTCGTATCAGTTTGAGTCCAAACAGAAATGTGATCACATAACTGACGAGGCCAACGTGCAAAGATGAGTGTCTTCCTCGTCTTCGCCTGTCAGTGTGGAACTGACTTCTCCTTGTTATCAAATTTGTGAGCAGCAGTTGGAACTGCCACATAAATTAATGTTCATCAGTCTGTTTGATTCCAGCCAATCAATAATCTATAATGATGTGGATTTGTCTTCAAACACGCGTGATCCAAAATTTGTCCTGAGATAATCGAAGAGTCCCCCAAATGAGGCAACAAGGCTAGATTGTCTAATTCCACAGCCGCTCACTTCCACCCTAAAGAATAAACAGACTCTATTAAGAAGATTTATTAATAAATTTCATTTTTCTTAAACTCTTCTGTGCTTGTCAAAATCCTTCCATCTAAGGAGCCTGGAAAGAAAAGCATCTGGACTTCTCTAAGTTTCTTGAATATGTTTCCTGTTGGAGTCAAATTGTTAAATGTTGTTATTGTGTTACTTAAATTTTTAAGTCTTAGTCTTCAAGCAGCCTGATCAAAGACGTTCCTTTGTCTCTGACCACCTCTCCAGCCAGTTTGTTGTTGGGGGAGGCTGCAGTGTTTCATTTGGGACATCTATGTGAGGGTTCTGTTTGTTGCTTAGAAAACTTCCTGCTTTTATGATCCTTTTGTGGGAAGGAGATCACAGAAACACACCCACTAAAACAAACATACACTCAAACTCATACATACACACACCCACACACACATTGTCGCACATACATAGATGCACACACGCACATTCTCGCACATGCATACACGTGCTAACACGTGCACACACATACACACATATTGCCTTGTCTTTTGTAGCCATAGGGGGTTTTACAATGGGAGGTGCTTAAGTGTGTTGTAACTATTTTCAATGAAAGGCAGCAAGGTGTGGTTTGGCTGTTGTATGTATATTTCAAGTGATACAGCTCCAGATGGGCCGGTTACCAGGGCATGGAAAGACGACAGACATTATCAAATGAGGAGAAGGAATTTTCTGGGATTGAAGATCCTCTGGGTGACTGAAACATTCAGAAAATAAAAGTTATCGTTTTATGATTAATTGGTACTTGACTGATAATTGGCCGTGTTCACAGCTGTATTGACTCGTGTGGATATTGTCTGTCCCAAGTTTGAGAACTCTAATTAACAGACTGAAAACAGCGACACTAAGCGAAGAACATGCAGTGCCACCCTATCAGATGCCAGTGTCGGTTGGGCTTGGTGATGAATCAGTGCGTTTCCATGAGTAGGCAGGCTGATGGTCTGGAAGACCCAGTATCTGACCAACTGAATGGGGACGACAGCTGATTTAGCACTGACTCGACTAAAAGACCCCACCCCAGTTAAGAGGGAAAAGCTGAAAGGCTGAGTGACACACTGGAGGGGAACTTGTGGGACAGCAGGCTGAACGAAACACACGTTAAAACGTGTGAAAGGAGGGAGTGTTGGCAATGAAAATGTTTGATTTCTCTTACTAAAATGAGCAGTTATAATTATTTTGATACACACATTGCAAATGTGCACATTCGAGTTGGCACTCAGTCTTTTGAAGGTCAGACGCTTTGTTCGGAGTGACTGTCCAGACTGATATATTGTAAGACATGACCTAGAGTGCAGAGGGGTAATTGCAAACACACTTGCACACATAGATAATAAGTAAAATAGGTCCCTGGGTCAAAGAGTTCCGAACATGATATTCTAAACCAACTTTGAATCACTAGAAAAACAATGGATAATAGCATTAGATTATCCTGACCTTTTTTCTTTTCTGTCTCTTACAGAGTAGGGAGCAGACACCAGAACAGGTCACGGAGATACGAGGATGCTTCAGAGCAGACACCAAGACTGCCATGTCCATGTGGGAGGAAGATAGCTGCTATGTTTTGGCTCCCTATATAATGTTGTACAGCCCGCACAACTGCTGGTTCACATAGAGGTCCACGGCGCTTGGGAACGGATTGGGGAAACCTGTAGTCAGCTGAGACTGAAGAAGTCACTTGGATGAGTGACGAAACGTTTCTCCCACAAAACGCTACGTCCAGATGAACAGAATCAACTTTTGGAGAACAATGGATAATATATGGAGTGCAGAGAGAGTGTGAGCGTGCAGCGTTTAAAGCGTGGAAGTACTGACCTTACTTTGAGTTTGATTCCATAAAAAGTGACAAAAACATTAGTGTCCGCTGTGCGTGGGAAGAAAACTTCTTTTTACAGCGAAAAAAACCCCTAAACTTCCAAGCAAGCACTGAGTAGCTACGACGAAGTGGAAAACTCACAGAGAAACTCGCGGATTCTTCAACTGACCGCGGCACACCTGCACCAGGGTAAACCTCCGCCTACCCTACTCCTGCTTTAGAGGTGAAAATAGAGCAACAGGACCGCTGAGTCTTTGACTTTATTTATTTTCTGCTGTGTTTTACTTGCATCTATTTGAAAGACTGAGTGTAAACACACAAAAATATTTTATTTTATGTGCTGGAATGTGCAGAAAATAGGTTTAAATGTTAAACTAATTTCTTCCAGTCAGAGAATGTTGCAGATAATTAAATATTTGCTTGATGCATAAAGTTAAAAGATTAAAACTAATAAAACAAGTTTTAAAAAGAGACTTTTCCATTTGATTACATTTTGTATGATGGATTATGCAGAAAAGTAGAATTGGGCTGAAAGATCTATCACTTTATTACCTATTCGGGTTGTAAATCATGTTTTTAAAAAGTAACTAAGTAACAAAGTAATTAATTACTTTTTTAAATAAGTAATCAGTAAAGTAACGAGATTACTTTTTGGGGGAAATAATCAGTAGTTAGTTATTGATTACTTTTTTCAAGTAACTTGACCAACACTGCTGATGACTGTCAGATCTATGTACCTCTAAAGAAGAAAGGCTAATCACATATGGAAAATATATATATAAATCTTATAAAGTTTGTATCTGTCTTGTGTGAAACTTGTATGAAAAGCATACTGTGATGTAGCATAACTTAAGCAGCAAGGAAGGTGATAAGTAAATAGCATTAGCAGACGATTGAAGTTCTTTTAAGCATGCTTTATTGCTGGCATCTCCATTTTACCATAAAACAATCCATCAGGCATGCAAAAATCCCACTGGCTTTATACAGGACTTTGCCCACACCTGACCTCATTAGTCCCTACCATTGAAACAAAATAGGTAAAACCAAATAATACAATTCTAAACAAAGAACAGGAATAAAGTCATGCATGAAACTGACAAACTCATTTACTC